AGGGCATACTGGGCGAGTTACAGAACGGGTTTCGAAAACAAAGAAGGTTGGAGGACAATTTATTTTCTCTAACACAGTGTATAGAAATAGCGCAAAAAGAAAACAGACAGCTCTGGCTGGCATTTCTGGATATCAAGGGTGCCTATGACAATGTGAACCAAAGAAACCTGTGGGACATAATGGAGAACTTAAACCTAGATGAAGGACTAACAGCACTATTAAGGAACATTTACAAAGATAACAAGGTGATTATAACATGGGAAGGAAAGGCGACAGGGAAAATAGAGATAAGACGAGGCCTTAGGCAGGGGTGCCCGTTATCGCCTTTGCTGTTTATGTTGTATCTGAGAGGATTGGAGGATAGACTAGAGAAGAGTGGGCTTGGGTTCAACCTTTCTTACAGTAAGCTAGGCCAAAAAATTCAGCAATCCTTACCGGGATTGATGTATGCGGATGATATTGTACTAATGGCTAACAACAGGACAGAGTTGCAGGAATTAATGAGCATCTGTGGTAGGGAAGGAGAGGAATTAGGTTTAGAATTCAGTAGCGAAAAATCGGCAGTCATGATTTTTAACGAGGATGAAGTTGAGAGGCTGAAGATACAGAATATTACAGTTGAGAGAGCTAGTAAATACAAGTATCTAGGAGTATGGATATGTGATGGTGCAGAATATCTCAGAGACCATGAAAAGTATATAGTAGGTAAGGGCAACAGAAATGTAGCTGTAATGAAAAATAGAGCACTTTGGAATTACCACAGGTATGAGGTGGTGAGAGAGATTTGGAAAGGGGTCATGGTGCCTGGCTTGACTTTTGGAAACGCAGTGCTATGCATGAAATCCGAAGTACATGCGAGACTAGAAATAAAACAGCGCGGAGTAGGTAGACTGGCTTTGGGGGCACATTGCAAAACGCCAAACCAGGGAGTACAAGGAGACATGGGATGGGCATCATTTGAGAGCAGGGAAGCGGTGAGCAAGGTAGAATTTGAGGATAGGTTGAGGCAAATGGACGGGGAGCAATGGGCACGAAAGGTTTTCAGCTATTTATACATGAGGAGTGTAGACACAAAGTGGAGACAGCGCACTAGGAAATTAAGAGGAAAGTTTTTGGGCTATAGCGAAGATACGGAAGAGCAAGTCTCAGTTAAGAAGAAAGTTAAGGCCACAGAAAGAGATCGGTGGCTAGAGGGAATGCAGACAAAGACGCCTCTGGAAAGCTATAGATTAAACAAAAGAGTTATTGCCAAAGAAAGCATTTATGACAATTCTAGGGGAAGCTCATTGCTGTTTGAGGCAAGAACGGGTGTTCTGCGCTCCAGAACATACAGAGTGAAGTACCAGAAAATGGATACAGTGTGCACTGCTTGTGGAGAGGAGGACGAGACGGCTGAGCACTTGATACTCTACTGTAAAGGGCTTCACCCTATGCCTACCGAAGACAACATAGATTTAATAAAGTCATTGGGTTTTAGAGACAGCGAAGGGAGAGTGGATTTCAAGACTGTAGAGATTACCAAGCAAAGATTAAGTGAATGGTGGCAGAAATCGAGAGAAAACTAGGTATTTTCTTATTCACTGATGGCAAGGGGGTTTCATAGCCTCACTTTCTTTGCACTGCGGAGTGAATATAGATTTCCCATTTAAATATTCTAAGCTTAAATGGTAAAACAAAATGGCTAGGTGGCGTAAGCTACCGCCCGATCCAAAGGGCTCAGCCGTATTCATCCATCCATCCATCCACCGCGTTTTCCCCTCCGCTAAGCCCACCGCAACGGATAAGCCGCTATTGCGCCTGCGAGCTGATATGGCCTTGACTGTAGAGTTCAGGGTATCGTAGCGGGTTACGGAGAGTGTTGCGGGACAGCAGAAACGATCTAAAGGCCCGTTCACACTCTTGTTTTGAAGGAGGGGAGGAGGGGTGGATCAACTTCGCCTTCACGTTGGTGGAAAGAGCGAATTCCGTGACGTCATGGACTTTTTCCGCGCGGAATTTCAAATAAATTCCTTACCGTCAATATTGTTGTCAACAAATTTTTCTTCGCGTAAAATTTATTATTTACATTGCGTGTTCCAACCAAACAAAAAAAAAAGAGTTTTTTTAGAGGTTTTTAAAGGGATGCTGAACCGAAATTCCGATTGCACAAAATAAGCTTCATGAAGTGTTCAACAGGGCGCCATAAACGACGAAACATCACTCATATAGGGAGTATTAAAAAAAAAAAAAAAAAAAAAAATTGGGTTGTGTGTGTGTTTATACAGCCTAGAACTTGGACTGCCTCACAGGGGCGACGAGTCTCCCAGCTGTAGATGAGCAATTTAGCCAGCGCGGTACAACCGCTAGTCTGGGGTCTTTAACGTGCACCACGCAGTAGTGATACACGACCGCACGCCGGTACGATGCTCATCCAGATCGAAACGGGCAGGGGTGGGGCTCGAAAGGGAGTATTCACTGGCGGCAATAGCTGTGTGCACGAATGCTGAGCGCGTGCCGATGGCGAGCTTCCAGAGTTCTTTTGCAACGTGCATTCCGCACCATCAAGAGTGCCGGTCTTAGCAGCCTATTGATGTGAGCTCGTTCTGAGCATGCGCTCTAAACAGCACCCACAAATATGGCGTCCAGTGAATACTTCCTATAGCCATATCTCGAGCGGATGGCCGTATTTCTGGAAAATAAAGGAGCGAATGAGGGAGAATGTTGACGTCATCTTATCGCAGAAGAGGTGAGAAGGAGGAGAAACGGCCTCACTCACTTTCCTCTCTGCACCCTCGCGGAGTCAAAGCTAAAAGAGAAGGAAATGAGAATCGCGAGGTGACGCGCAGTGGTGTCACAAGGGTGGCCACGAGAGCGGAGGGCGGGGGGGGGGGGGGGGGGGGGGGGGGGGGGAGGGGGGGGGGTCGCGGCGGGTTACGCGAGAGCGGAGGGGGGTTGTCGCGGCAGGCTACCGCCCCGGGTGCCGCTGACCCTCGTGACGCCACTGGTCACGGGTCCTTTCGGACTTGTGCGAGCGCGTTCGTCTTTTACAAAAAAATAGGACGATCCGTTGGAAATACCGCTTTTTGAGTGACGTTCAGCGTACCGCACTATCGGAGCCTTTGGAGCATGCTTTTAAAGGGGCAGTGCAAATTGCAATGATTTTAATGTTGAAAGAATTGGCAGTTTGCATTTTTTTCTTAAATATTGTTTAGACAAGCCCAAGCGACCAAAAAAGCGCCACCTTTTCCCGAAAAACTGCTATTCTGCTGCGTAATCTGAAAGCAAAAAAAAAAAAAAAAAAAAGAATTATTTGCGGATTTGCAGCCGCCTGTCGGGGTTACGGCAACTAAAATGACACCGTGTCTGAGGGATACGCGGAAGTCAACGAAACCTGTCCCCCTCCGCTGCTACACTCACCGTCAGCCCCCCGCGGCGAACCGTCCTTTGTGTCGATCACTCGCCGCGACCTTCGACGAGGCTAATCCTTTTAAAAGTCGTCAATCGCGGAGGAAGCGGCTGGTCTCTGAAGAGAGGACCCAAGGGGAAACTACGTGAACCCTCAGAGTGCCTTCATGTGCGCTAAGGCTCCCTACCCAGAGTACGTCCCTCGAAAGTCGACGTGGAGTAGAAAGAGGCCTTCTCACCTTCGATTTGTTTTGTTTCTTTTTTCTTTTCTTAATAAAAACTAGCGCTCGCAAGAAAATACTGTTTTCTGCTTTTCGTTTCATAGGTGACGCAGATTAATTTCCGCAGTTAATTGGCCAAAGTCTGAAAATTGTTGCACAGCCCCTCTAAAGGGATACTGAATCAAGGAATTTAGTGCCCATAATAAGTGACGCAGGTTCTTTCCACGAGCCAGCAGCCGCCGGTGTGCGTGAGCACACGCAACAAAAATGACGTCAAAGACCTCCATTCGCGGTTAAAGGAGCTGTGCAACGATATTCAGTTGGAATGTTTTTCACTTTACACGAGCTTACTGGCACTAGTGGGACTCTAGAATATTCTCGCACGCAACGCCACTGGCCAAGAAACTCCTTTGTTGCGGTGTAATTTCAAGGGCAAAAGCGATCATTTTCATTCAATGTCTCCTTTGCAAAATTTGATGACGGAACGTGGGGATCGCAGTACACCCCAATGACGATATTTGAATGCGGTTCCTAGATTGGACCCGAGCATTGCGTGGACACTCAATTTGGGCTTGTGATAATTACTAGCTCGAGAAGCATTCGGGTAGTGGCCCGTGTCCAATCGCTGCAACGACAATAGCCGAGCCATAACAATGTCTGGAACTCAGCGCGTGTCCTTGAGCTTTGCCAACACCAGCGCATGGCAATGATCAACATTGGCGGCATATAATCGGTTCCAGGTCACGTGGCCGCTTGTTCTGGCTGAAAGTTGAGGGGGTGAACGCAGTTTATTTTTCTTCAATTTTTTTTCTGGGACTTCTATTGCGTGGAGTGAAAAACGAACGCGTGTTTCATAGGTCATTAATGTCAGGGATCCGTTCTAAGCGGTATTTGCGCAAAGTATACAAAAATTGTTGTGGTGGTGCATAGGGCCAATTGGTGCATAGGGCCAAAGGAGAATAAAGACAAGTTTTTTATCTACACAGTGGTGTCTGGTGTAAAAGGTAAGCGATTAATTGGTCTAACAAGCACGTAGCTTTCACTTGTAGAGATGAAAAGCCAGTCTTTATTCTCCTTTGGCCCGAAGCCCATGCATTTCACTGTCCTCTTAAGCGCGAATGGAAGTCTTTGACGCCATTTTCGTTGCGTGTGCTCGTGCACACCGGCAGCTGCTGGCTCGTGGAAAGAACGTGCGGCATTTATTATGGGTTACGGAGCCTTTGAAGTATGCTTAAAAGCATACTTCAAAGGCTCCGGTAGTGCGGTACGCGGAGCACGGTAACGGTTTGTCAAAGGTCCCTAATGTCTCAACTGCAGCGGGGACACAATAATATTTTTCTTTTAATCCAAGTAGCACAAGCATCTTTGGAAGAAGAGGAAGAAACCAGAACAACAGGTCGCCGGCTCCCCAAAGAGGCGGCCATGAGGGCTGCCGCCTTCATCACCATCCTTTTGGCGGTGTCCTCTATGGCCATCATCCCAGACGGCTCGGTCGCCACTGCCGTCTTCCACGGCGCTCCACCGTCACAGACCTGGGCTCGTGGTTCAGACACGGCGTCCAAGAAACGTCGGCATGACGCGCCTTCCTTTGACCAGATCATCGTGGAGACGCTGGACCAAACGGCGACGCAGCGTTCCTCTACGACGTTAATCTTGTTCCTCTTCTCGACCGGACTGCTCATTGGGGCAGTCTTGCTGCTCCTCTGCATACTGTGTATGCTCAGGGTCTTCAGGCGAGTCCGTGTAGACGTACGAGTGCAAGCACAACTTTCTAAAGATGTGTAGTCTAAGCTACGGGCTCCCGTGCGCTCGCGCACTTTGTAGGCCCATCAGATATGCACATGCACTCCACTTCGGTAATGCTACAGAAAGTTCTGATTGGGTCTGATGCTCCTCCTTGCCCTTGCAGCCTATCTACCACATGACACTGAAGAGAGCGAGAGTGAAGGCAGTTGCTCGCCTGCGCTTGCCCGTTCGTTGTGGATTATACTCCGTGTCACTAGTTGCGTGCAGTACTGGCGAAGGCAGCGCCAGGCGAGGGGAGAAAGTGCAAGCACTAAAAGGCTGGAAAGGAGGAGAGAAACCTCTTTTCCTCTCTAACGACTCTAGTGCTCTCCCTTTCTGACCTCGCCCTCCACTTCCCTTCTCTCCCGTTCCGCCTTCCTAGTGCTCGCCCTTACTCTCTTCGCTTGGCATTGCCTTCGCCTGCACTGCACGCAACTAGTGTATGTATGTGTCACACAGTATAGCTCCAAGGTCACCTCTGCCGTCTGGTACAGCCCATTGTACCTAGCGTTCCCGGTGCTCCTTTCGGCGATGCAGACGACGCTGTAAGCCTTGGGAAACATATACTGTAAACGACACAATTTTCGCAAGAACCTAATTTTTGCAAATCGCCTACAATTGGCGAAAAATGCGTCCCGCGAACAATTCCGGTAAAATGTAAACACATTGGAATCTATATAGAGATCCCATTGCATCGCGACAATTTGAACCTGCGAATTATTCTAAAACTCCAGCTTTGACCTAAAACACAATATTGAGCCTGCAAAAATAAGTCCCTTACAGTATTCATGCCTATCTACAAAGTTCCAAATAATATGTATGCGGGAAGCAGTACCACCTTGCACTTCAGGGCTAGAAGAGGATGCTATCAAAAATGGGCGGATTCAGAACTTCATAACACTCTGTAGACAAATGGGAACACAAGGAATATTTTTTTATATATTTCTTACCTGCTTCGTTTTATGTAAAACCCCATTTCCTAAGAACTAACTGGTCTTTACCGTTGTGGTACTGCTGCAGGCTATGGTGCCCATGCTGTCACTATCACTACGGTACCATGGATATAGTAACACACGAGGCATGAAATGCGGGGCTGCTCTCAGCTGCTGGGAGAAGCAAGCGATTACCAGACCAGTCTTTCTTGTCCACCATAAGACCAGCCAGGTTACAGCTAGATTTGGTTGCTGCCACGTCTCTTGCTCGTTGCCCTAATGTGTCTACCACACACCAGGCACGTATCCAATGGGGGGGGCATGAGGCCCGGGTTCCCCTGAAATCTTCTATTTTGCTGGGGCCTCCTTTTCCCTTTCAGCCTCATAGAGCATTTTGTGAAGGGCGGGGCCCTTCTCCCGAAATAAAATCGTGGCTACGTGCCTGCTGCACAGGCCTGTTGCAAGTTCTGTTCTGTTCACCACGCACACGCCTGCATGTCTTGGGCACCAACCAGGAAGCCATCCTTCCAAGGCAATGCAGTCAAAGCCGGTCATGGTGGAAACGGCATATATTAAAAATAGAGGCAAAATTGGCAGCTGTTAGCGATTTCCCGGTGTTGTAAAGGATGGTTTTACTGTTGAGACCGGTTAAAACGAAGTCAACGGGAATCGGAAATCACTTCGCTATATCCGCTATTTCGTTATAACCAACTTCGGTTAACGAAGTGCAGAAGGGAATGGGAAATCATGATTGCTTCGCCGTAGCCGCTATTTCGTAATAACCGGTCTTGACAGTATGCCGACAAACAAAGCCTTTCATTAACCAGTGTAGTCCGTTGTTAGATGGCCTTGTTTTATTGTAAAACTATATGGTCTTTCATAAAGTGATAACAGGCAGTTAATTTGATCATTACCATTCCCAAATGTCTGTGCCCAGGGCCCAGATTGCCTACCAGCCAGTGAAGCAGCAAGACGCCGAGGACAAATTCTGCGTCGCAGAAAAACGAGGAGCGTCCTTTGCCGGTGCACCCATCAGGAAACCATTGGCGGTTCAGGGCAGTGCAGACATCCGGAGCCTGACCTTCGACCAAGGGACGGCTGGCGTGACAACACAAAGTTCGGAGGATTCCGAGACCGTTAGATCCCGGCGGTCTAAGAAGCGAAGGGCAAAGGAAAAGTATGCAAGACACCGCCGTTCATCGCACCAGAATAAAGAGGACGAGGATGAGGACGAAAACGAGGACGACGACGGCATGAAAACTATGTCCCAGCTGCGGTTGGATCTCCGATTTCAGCAAGACAAGCCCAAAAGGACCAGCTACAATGCAGCGAAGAGGTACTTCGAAGACGACAACACCAGCTCGGGGTCTGCCGAAATAGCAGAACCGCTGACGGCCAACCAACCTGCGATTGCCAGTTACAAAAAGACGCGTCCGTTGGTCTTCTGCCTTAACGCAGACGATCGGGGCAAGAAGACAAGCAGAAACGGCTCGAGACCCAGGGGTGCTAGCGACTGGTTCGAAAAGGAGAGCCAGTCTGCGAGGCGTCGGGATAAGGCAGCCCAGTCCGCGACTCTGCAGTCGAGTCAGAGCAGCGAAATCGACGAGAAATTCAGCGGGGAGAAGGCACCCCAAGTGCACCGGGCCTTTGCGTACAAGCCTGAAGTGAAGCCAAAGCCGGCGCTCAGAGAAGATCCAGCAAACGGGTACGGACAAGCCGCTTTGAAGGAGGGTGGCGTGACGCTGGATCATTTGAAGGTTTTGCTCGACGAAATTCTGGCGGAAAAGAATGACGGCAGGAAGCCTGCGATCAAGAGCCACACCGTCAAGAGTCCTAGGTAAAACTGAAGAAAGCTGTACTTGACCTCGCCTTTTCTGTACGGACCAAAGATATTAAATAATTGTTATGCATATGTCTCCGTACTCACCACAGGTTTCTGTGTATTGTTAAACTTTGCTGTTGGTTAAAAAAAAAAAAAAAAAAAAAGAAGCAAGGAAGACATTTCTTTTTTTACCTTCTCAATTTCTCAATGACTTGTAGCTACATAACTAAGTGGAAAAAAGGAGAGGTGAATCCTCCTCACCCCATTTTCTGGCTGGAGTCATTATCAGTGTATGTGTATATGGTGCATACTTTGCTCGCTTTCCAACATGATGAGCATGTGCGTGCTGGGCTGGGGACTTGTACTGCAAACATGCACAGAAACATCAGTTGCTTGCTCCTTTTTCAGCACAGGCATACAACCTCAAACTTATCATAATGTGTGTGAGCATAGCCTCTTATATACTGACAAAGACTGGCAGATCGCCATGAGAAGCAACCGCCAAAATGGAAAAGGTGGAGCGTCGGACAACGGATGACAGGAGAGCCACGGACCCAAAACACACAAGAAGTGTGTTTCGGGTCCTCGCTAATGCAAAATCTGTGCGCTGACGTACAGGTTCGCCGAGAAATGGCTCTTTGATGCTGTGTGCTGCCAGATCCTTGCGCTCCAAATCTGAAATGGCACTCTATGGCTCCGTCGTCGAACTGCCAGGCTTTGTGAGTATACCGTAGAATACCGCGCATCCACCCAGTCCACATTAAGCGCCCATTCCCAAATTTGTAAGATCTGAGAAAATACGCACAGTACATTTATATGTAAAATTGATGACCGGAGAAGCGCCCATCCTCCATTCCCTCGCAATTATTTCTAAATTTTAAGAGGGCGCTTGCCCGGTATTTTAAGGTAGTGTGAGCTACTGACAGCTAATGCAATCACAGCTTTACCCCCAAATCTCCAGTTCAGCTAAGTGTTCAAAGTATTTCTTTCCAAACGCCAAAATTACAATGCAACAGCCGTAGATCTGTCCACCTCCCTCGAAACATTACTATTTCCATGATCTTGGCATCATTATGAATGCGACGAGAAACTGAGGGAGAGGAGGAGACCAGTGTGCGCAGGGGCATCAGAGCGCCAAGCTCTGGTTGGAATGATTAGTGGATAGACCTAAAGCTACCTGCCTTTGTCTCCACTGCACTCATCAAATGCGTTTAAATGCGAGGCCCAAAAGCCGGATGCTGGCGTTCCGCGTTTCAACACGTTCAATGAGTGCAGTGTTCTAATGTGTTTTACGAGCGCAGTGGAGACGAAGGCAGCTAGTTCAAGTCTACCCACTATTCATTCCAACTAGAGCTTGGCATTCTGAAATCCATACACGCTTTATCGGCGCATAGCGGTGAGTGCACGGACTCGAGCACTCACCATGAAGACACATATTCTTTTATCGTACTGTAAAATACCGAGCGAGCGCCCATTCAAAATTTGGAGATGTTCATTTGAAACTGGGGGATGGGGGCTCCTGAGGTCAACGATATGTAAAGATATGTCCTCCGTTTATTTTACAAATGTTACAAAATTGAGGGGTGGACACTTTGTGTGGAATGGGCAGATGCTCGGTATTTTACGGTAGTTGGGGACAATATTTCATACGATAATTCATTTACTAAGAGCATTTCAGTTCTTGACAATCTTGCCAACATATGTAGGAAGGCTTACAAGCATAAACAGAATGATGACAATCTCAAAGCAATTGTTGGGTGGACCCTTACTCCAGACCACGTAAACCAAGCACACACTGTCTGCAATTATTGACAATCTTACTGTACCCAATTAAATATTCTAGAACGTTATTACCAGACATACTTGATCATAATAGAACATTTTTAGTTTGACTGAACAGATCTGCTCACATATCCTTGTTTGGTATGATAAAGAATGGCAGATAATAACCAATAACTATCAGAAAAAAAAAGAAGATATATTTATTAACCTATAACACATACAAAAACTTTCACCCCAACAATGAATCAAGAGCCTTGTCTCGGTCATTTTTGTTCTCCATCAAAGCCTTTGTGACAGCCTCTCTTTGGAATCCGAGGTCGAGGAATTGCTTCTGAAGCTTGAGAAATTCCAGTGCCTTCAAGAAGAAAGAAGAAACTAAATGTTACGTAGCGAACACACAACATAAAAACCACTTGTCACATTACAAGGCTGCTGCATCTACTTTTGAATGTAAAATAATCTTACATTCAAATGCAAGATCATTTTACTCATAAATGAACCCCCTACTACTACTAAATCAATATGCTGAGCATAGTATAAAGCTCCACAAAAGTGCAACCAGTGTGTGGAGATCCATTTTTGCATTTGCATGGTTACCTGGATGCAAAGCTCAAAACAATTGGTTTTACTTTCCCAGTTCTGTACTATTGAAAGCAACAGGTTACATTGGTGAATTCACGCTATACTTGCAACCTTCACCATTTCTTTTCTTCACAACCCGAGCCTCAGTGATGCCTATATACAGTAAAACCTCGATAATTCGATCTCAGTTCGTTTGGAATCCCAGATAACTCGCAAAATTTCTATGGTCCCGTAATTTCTCATGAAAATATGACCAGATATTACAAGTGATTCAGGCATGCCGACGCAGTTAATTCGCCGATTTGGTCTTCCAGGTTCGGTTTTTAGTTACTAGGTGGTGCAAACTGGCAGGTAGCAGAAACCAACAAGGCACGAGTCTTCATTGTTCCATAGTTGCGTTTCTGGTTTGCTGGTTCATGTGCATACCATGGAACACATCCCTTTGGCTGTGTTCCAAAGCTTACCCAAATAGGTCAGTTACTCAAGCAGGTCGTGTCGCAGGACAACATTGATAGAGCAACGCTGGACATGGATAGGTTATGGAATGCCAACGTACAAAGCCTTTATCCTGGAGTAAGATAGAGTAAATTCTAAAGCACAACTTTCATCTCCTTAAGCTAGGGCTGGCTCATAGGGCTAGTGCTGGCTCGCGTGTGGTTCTAGGTCTCAGGCCGTTTGAAGCGTTCAAAGCAGTGCAGACGGGAGATGCCGAAATGTAAACCTTTATCATTACAATGGAAAGTTTGCCTCATCAAGGAAGCAGAGAGCCAACATGTACTAAAACCAAGCTCGCGGGGAAGCAACAGGTGCCCATTACCACAGTCTGCTTCGTCCTCAAGAAGAAGGCGAAAAGCCTTGAGGTGTACAGCAAGATGCACTCATCGAAGCGTTCGTGGATTTGGTTTTCGATGTACCCAGACGTCAAAGCTGCCCCAGTTACCCGACTCCAGAATGCCACTGCAGCTCACCTTCCAGTCAGCGGCATGACCTTACGAGAGAAGGCCAACGATTTAGCGTCGCAACTTGGTCACAAAGAAGTTAAATGCAGCAACGGATGGCTCTCTCACTTCGAGCAACGGAATGACTTGACGTTTCTGACGGTGTGTGGTGAGAGCGGCACTGCAGACAAGATTGCTGCAGTAGGTTGGATAAAGCGCACCTTGGCCCTGCTTCTTAGCATGCACAGTGCAGATGATGTCTACAATCTGGACAAAGCGGCTTTACGAGATGCTTTCGACAAAAACGTTTGCAACAAAGTACAACAGTGTCAAAGGACGGAAGCAGCCAAAAGACGGAATCGCAGTCTCATTTGATGCAAATGTGACGGGCAAACGCAAGATGGCCCTTTTTGTCCTAGGAAAAGCGGAGAAACTGCAATGCTTCAAGCATGTTCGGTTCCCACCTGCCAGTGAACTCATCCACTGACGCAACAAGGAGGCCCGGTTCACAGCAGCAATCTTCGAAGAGCATGTGCGACTCCACGACCCCAAGTTTACGGCGGCAAGACAAAAAGTTGTTTTCGTCATCGATAACTGACCGACCAAGATGGATCAAGACGTCTATCTCGCAGCCAATGAACTAAGGCGTTATTCTGCATGTACGAAAGATCTATCATCACCACTTTCTGAAGCGAACAATGCTCCGCTATGACAACGGCAAAAGCTATTCCATCGATCTTCTCAGGCTATGTGTAGCGCAAGTTTGTCTGCTTCTTGCACACGGGTTGCAATAATGTTAGAATAATGCCGAGCTCTTAATGGCTGATTGAAAAAGATAGCAGGTAGACCTCAAGGCATCTAGCATTGAGCTCTACCCACTATCCTTTCAATCAAAGCAAATCAGAGCTCGGCATTGTTCTGACGTCACCGCAACTCTTGCGCAAGAAACAGACGACTTGCTCTCTGAATATGCTCAATTGTGCATGCTTGGAAACAAGTGAAGGAAGATGTCACCTTATGGTGCTTCGAACATGCAGGGTTTCCGAATGAACAACTGTCCGAGGAGCGGGAAGGTGCAGCCGGTGTCGACGTTAGTACCGGCATCATTCTTGGAGTTGACTATGAGGGAGGGGTGCTTTGCTCCCGCAACAAGGACAGCGACGATAAGTCGGTCGGTACGATTTTCGTCGACCGCTTACACGGTAAAGAGAATGAGCAAATCTGCTACACGGACATTGAAGGCAAAATCACAGACAGTGCGATGGCAGAGTCTGACGACGACGGCGCCCAGCTGCCTCAAGTCCCCGCTTTAGGGGAAGTGATGCAGTCGCTGGATGTCGTCCGTAGCTTCGTGGAATGTAAAAGCGGGGATTCCGAGATGTTGCGGCTAGTAGTTTGCCTTTTCGAAAATTTGACGTTCGGCAGAGCTAATTATCGAATGCGGCAGTTTCATGTCGGCGACCACTTCGGGCGACGTCTCTTGTTTTCGACTGCTCATTTCGAATTAACTCTTTCGCTACCACGGGAAAAAGGGCAGTTTTTACTAGGTGGAAGGAAATATTTTTTGGTGCAGATTCACTAATGCCTTATTTACATTGTTTGGTATCAAAATGTAGTTAAAAGAATTTTCTATTCGATAACATAAATGCTGCATATACATTTATTGCACAACATAATAAAAAAAATGTTTTAATGTAAAACTTTATACAGTGAGGATGTTGTTCTGCTTGACAAAGGTGGACAACTCTAAAAATATCAAGAGTGAAAAAATTTCAAGATATGCATTCTGTAGCTTATTATGCCATAAAATGATAACACAATTTTCAGAGGGTATTGCTGAAAACTGTTCTTTGCGCAAAAAAAAAAGTTAGCGTGGGTGTGTGGCGTGCCATCCTCCAAAGCAGTCCCTCGTTGGGATGAAACACAGATACACACCACACGGCTCACAAAAAACTGCAGTCTTCCTTTCGACCTTCTTTTTCTCGTAGCAGAGCTTGCAGTTACGGCGCTTTTCTTGCACCTGGGGCTTGTGCTCAGACTTCTTTGGAGGAGGCGGAGGGTGAACATGTCTGTCGTCCATCCCGAAAATCTGGTTGACCAGCTCAATACGGAATGCGAGCTGGTCAAAGCCAGTCTTTCTGGTGAGCTCCTCTATCTCGGGGTGATGTTCCCTGTGTCCTTGGAAGATGACAAAGCTGTTGACGACAGCAATGTCAATGCAGTGGAAGAACAGTGTCTTCCACCACCTGACACACTTCATCAAGACATTGTAAGAAGCGATAAGTTGATCGGACTTGTCAACACCAAGCATGCCCTTATTATAGTCTTCTATTATGAGTGGCTTCCTTATGGGGATCCTTGTCCATCGGTCTCCTCTCTTCACTTTTCGCATTGCACTGACGTGATTGTTGGCAGTGTGGGCTGTGCTCATCATGTTTACAGTGCGCTTGTCTTTCCATTGCAAATACAGCACATCACGGCACCGCAGCCAGCGAATGTCCCCTCGAGTTGCTCTTTTCTCCCAAGTGGTGTCTTTCAACTGGGAGGGAAATCCGCGCCGATCTTTGCGTGTTGTTCCACAAGAGAGAGTCTTCCTCTCAAGAAGGTGTTCAAAGAGGGAGGTGGATGTGTAGAAGTTGTCAAGGTAGATAATGTAGCCTTGATCCAAATATGCATCACACAGGCGCGTTACAACGTCATAAGCCAGTCCCTTTGAGCTGGGTGTTTCTCGCTTCCCGGTGTAAACGCTAAATTGCACAGTGTAGCCTGTGCTTGAGTCAGCAAGGACCCACAGCTTGTACCCCCATTTGACCCCCTTGTCACGCATATACTGGCGTATTCCCGATCGTCCTTTTGATTTGACCATTCGTTCATCCACGCACAAATTTCGGTATGGCTGGAAATGCTGACTTGACACGTCATTCATATGTTGCAGCAGATGTGTGATCCTGTGCAGCTTGCCATCGCGGACAGCGTCAGTCTTCTCCGGGTCCATGACACTGAGAAAAGCAAGAAACGCAAAAAATCGGCTTCTGGACATAATCTTTGGAAGAATGAGGCCGGAAAATAACTCCGAGGTATTCCAGTATAGATGGAGGCGAGGCAGTTCCACAATTCCCATGTAGATCAGGACTCCTATGCACTGCATCACTTCATTGGGACTGAACATTTTCCATGAGCCGTCCTTTTCTGCGTACGTTTGCCTCTCTAAAATATGCGCCCACGCATATTTGTTTGTGTTCTCACAGATCATGTTGATTAGCTCTGCGGTGAAGAAGAGTTGGAAGACATCGACGGCCCGGACGAACCGCCGTGCGCTACTCCGGACCGCGCCGCCAACTTTGACTCCCGGGTTTCGTTTAGGAAAAAACTGTACGCGCTTCACAGCTGCTGGCAAGGAATCATGTCCGTATGACGTTGAGACCCTGAAAATAAATAATATAGCTGTGAGTACATGCTCCGCCGGTCATAACTATTTATTAGTAATCTAAATGTGCGCCCCACATAGAGCTGACACTCACCCGCTGGATGTTCCGGCTTGAGTTGGTGCATCCTCGTCATCGGTGCTGAAATCTGATGTGTCCACATCATCTTCAGTCTCACTACTGCTGATTGCATCCGCAAAATCGGCTCCTAAAGAGCTCGAAAGGCCAGAAGCACGACATCTTTTGGGAGCGCCCGCGCACGATGACGACGCCATGATCGAAGCCCTCGCCCGTCAAAGCTAAACTTTTTGCAACGCGGGGAGGAGCGCCGCAAAGCAGGAAACTAACAAAACATAGCGGAGCACGTTGTGTGTTTCCCACTTTCTAACCTAGATGGCGCTAGGCGCCCGTAAACCGCGCGAGCGCGCGAAAATTTGAACTGGAAGTGCGTCGATCAAATTGATCGATTTGGATAGGCGCGGTAGCGAAAGAGTTAAATGCTTCGTCCGAGATTAGGTGCTTTGCTCACGATTTTTGTCGTTTTCTTTCTTTTTTGGACACTTCGCAAATTTGTTCAAGTGGCATATTTCCGCCGTCCCACCAACTTTGAGTTAACGAGGTTCTACTGCATTACCATGTGGCTTTGAATACGTTGTGCTCACGACCTGCCATGCTTCTATAGTTGTATGTAGTATTGTCAAAATCAAACCACAAGTTGGGCAGGTTAGCACTGCACAATAATACCTCTAAGTTTTCAGCAACTACTAGCACAAGAAATCGAAAACTAATGCACACCTCATTCGTTATAAACGCTGGGGATCCCTTTTAGTCAATACTTTGTGGAAGTGAGCTACACGTTCCATGGTGTCTTTAGTGTTGCCTTCAAAGTCTAGAAAAGACTTACTTGTTCATAGTTGCTCTTGTTCAACCCAAGTGCCTCTTCAGAATCAAGGTCAGTGAACCCAGCATCCACCAGGGACTGTACATGACACAAGTGTTCTATGACCTGGAAGCCAAACACGAACCCGATTGAATGGTGATGCCAATTCAACCACACGGACAGTCTGAGACAGATATACACTTGTTGCATATGTAAAAGTTTCACCATAGATCATAGCTGTGAAAGATATGAACTAGGGAAACATTGTACGACTACGAGTACCTCTGAAAGAAACCTAACACTCAAAATTAGACTAAAGGAACAGTAAGCTCTAAAAAGAAACTTTTTTTGTTTTATTGCATGTATAGGACAGATGTGTCCCACACAGGCAGTAAGAGAATTGGCCATGAGTCAAAACAAATAAGACAGTTTGCCACAAGTCAGACAAAAACAGTTTTGTTTTTAATTTCTTGGTCAGTTTGAACAAAGTTCACGCATTTCAGTGTGCCGGTGCAAACGGTATAAAACACTGCCTGAAACAATAGTGGGCTCCAGCAGAAAAGCAGCTGTTTTGCTCGTTGATACCCCCACCTGTCACGACACAGCTATACTGCAAACAAAGGCACAGAAACTAGACTGGTGACTATTGCTATTGTTTTAGTCGGAGGCATTAAGGCAAAAGCTTACCTTCTTGTCATCCATTCCCTGGGATTCAATGGCCCGCAGTGCCCGGTCTTCTTCGAAGCCCATGTCGACCAAGTATTTCAGGAGTTGCTCCGTCGCGGGGCTCAGGATTCGCTTGGGCCTCGCATCCATCATGCTCGGCTAAGAAAACATACCACACGTTTGCTGCGTTACATCTGCACACATTGGAAGGGCACTGCTCGAGCTACCACATAAGCAACGTTTCAGATTAATGAGACTTCAGCCATCTTGTCGTTTAAAGTCATTGTTGGCGGTCATCTGAAATCACGGCGAACGCTTCTCCACCCTATAGAAATGTTAAAACGGTAGGCGACAAAGGAGAACGACGTTGCCGTAGCCTCCCGACGCCGTACGTAAGGCTCAGGGAGTCTAGTTTTGTACTTATAGCTATCGCCAGATGCACCCGCTCCAAACTGGGTGCCGAAATGGCGGCGTCCACAAGATAATCTGACAATGAAGTGCCGATACTTTTGGCGTGACCTATTTAGTGGCTCTAGGCAGTGCACTATTCTTTGAGAGGCTGTTTTGCTTCACTGTTCCTCTTTTACTGCATTTGACAGAAGCGCTCGTAAGACAGTCCCATGAAGAGTCACGTCCATTTCACTCCGCCTGCTATTCGCAATAAGGCAACTGAACAGTGAACACATTCATATAAAATCGCATTGTTCCAAACCAAAAGGAAATTAAATGCCGGATTAAAACTAATAAATTAAAAAGGCAAGCTGCAAAATAGGCGGAGAGACTAAAAAAATTCTGTTTCACTATCTTCGCAAACTTCGGTGGACTCCGTTGAGAGTCCTTGCAGAGGTCTCAATTGAAATATTGATGGTCAAGATTTTCTATAAAAGCTGCAACATGTGTATTAAAGGGATACTACAACGAAATTTCGGCACTTATTTCTTGGTCTATTTGAGTACAATGGAGCATTATCACATCAGACACACCAATCTCTCGTTGAAAAAGACACAAAAAGGAATTCCAAGATGAATTAAACGATTAGCAAAGAGCACCTGGTGGATGTCGCTAACGCCTTGTTTGTAATGCCCGTCTAGGAACCTTGACAGGTTGTGACGGTAACTGTCTCGCCTCCGGGCACGACGAGAGAAGAGCTGAAAGAGGAGCTCCCCTCTCCTTGAGACTCTCTTGTTTGTGTGTCCCAGAAGTCACTATTGTCCCTCTACGAGATTATAGAAGATTAACCCGTCACTCAAAATTTGTGCAAAGACAGCTTTGGGGTTACTTGCGGTGGCCCAATCGCTGGTGTGCTTCGGCTGCTTTCAACGGATGCTATGAGCCATCAGGGCCTATCCAAGGGCGTGTGGGACCTTGGAGAGGGGACAGCGACGTGTGGAAAGCGTATCACGGGCTACGTGCACAAAGCGGGATTGGCGTGGATAGCTCGCAGGCGTCCGCTGGGTCCGGACGTAAGGTTCCAAGACAAACTACGTCACGATTGCTGCAGATGTGACGTGATCTCTACTGGCTGCTCTGCGAGCGTTTACCAGAGTGGGCCGTTTATAACAAAAAATACGGCCATCAGGCTCAAAATAGAAACATGCGATTGCCATTTATGGATATTGTGGATCATATTCAACCTATTTCTGAACACGACGGGTATATTTCAAATTTTGTTGAAGTATCCCTTTAAATACTGTACAGAACTTCATTTATGTAAAAACCTAATTATTCGCGTGACTAGAAAAACATTGCAAAAAATTGATTGTGTGAATACATACCCCCTGGTAGCAAATACAAAACATACCATTCCAAATCACAAAAAATTTCGGGCCCACAAAACTTTTTAAAAGGCCTCATTTTGCGAGATACCAACCCCAAAAGATTAATTTTGTTGATAGTAAACTTTCCTGAGCGCATCTATCAAAATATCTCGCCAAGGTATTAATTTCTTTGGTACAAAACTAAACTCGACACTGGAGGGTTTTAGTAGATCGTTCCGACGACTCCGATAACTATACCCGATACGCCGCCGCCGCCTTTGAGCATGTATTGGGTATCGTTACCGGGGTACCGGATGTGTCGGAAATATCTACTAAAGCTCTCTATCTGCGTGCTTAAAGCCATGGATGAAACCATTTTGGGCTAAGTGTCACAATGGCAGCATCCGAGCTTGAGAAGCATAACAGTGCCCTTCAAAGCTACTATTATAACAATTATTACTACGCACCACCTCAATTGATGTTTGACTCTTACCAGGTGTGGTACGTTGCTGTGGGTGTACGGTGGTGGAGGTGTGTTTGAGCGCCATGCATTCTGCAGGCCTTTGTCTCCGGAGCTCCGGACGTCCGAGGCACTTCTGGAAGGCCTCAGTGGCTTGGCGTCCTCGGCCGCTGCCGTAGCCGAAGCTGCGGTGCCGTCAAGATATCCATTGACTTCGGCCTCTTGCAAGACGGGGACTCCGGGAATCTTGACGTCGAACGTCGGCACCTGGCTGGCCGCAGGCGCCGACGAGTCGGCATTTTCGCTTTTCGGTGCCGCGGGATGGCACACCGATATTCCCTACGGGAAATATGTGCTTTACCAACCGGCTCCCGAGGTTTAAAACATTGTGAGTGACACAAGACATTGCAAGATCACTAAAACATGGAGTCGAGAGAGGGCTGTGAGAGTGCGCCTATTCTGACGTGCACACCCTCCCTTCCCACTATGCCGTTTTATCAGCCTCAAGGAGATGCGGCATGTATCGAAGGTCACGCACGCCGACGTTCCCGCTCGTACTGTTTGCGATAGTGCACATGATCTCGTAAATACCGCAAAACCTTTGCTCCAGTGAAATGCAGTTCCACGGTCATCTCATAAAGCTTGCCAGAATGTTCTCTCATTGTAAGAGATCACGAGATCTTGGTCCTAAGCAGACGCAAGCGTGTGAATGGCCCTTCACTCTTTGTTCAATGAGTGCCACATCACTAGAACACCGCTTTGGTTTTCTCAATGTATATAGAGGGTGGTTTCTTAAACTCAGTATAATCTAAAAAGAAACATTTTTTTGAGGTAGCATTAATGGCCGCAGCGGGTGCCAGGCCGCGAGAATGATGTGATTATTAAGGGGCTAACATGGCAGCACACGCTGCGAGTGTCATGATCGGAATGGGATGTTCTGCAGTAACTAGTCACCGTCGGGTGGACATTTACACAACGCCTCTGAAGACGTCTTGTGGCCCCCAAACTATTAGCACATTAGCCGAACTAGAAGACGGCTTCAAGACATTTTAAGAAGTCTGGAGCTAAACTGCCTTGCCACGATGTTTGCGGACATGTTTTGTACATCCTTCCAAGATGTCCAGCAGGGTTTCAACGGGATGTGCCTCATGACGGTTTTGCTCATAATCCAACTAAAAACTTGCATCGAAGAAGGCGGGCACAACTAACCTGAAAGACGGAGTTGAGTTCCTCCAGATCGTTGATAGTCTGCAGCTCGACGTAGTCGAAGGGACTGGAGCTATCGTTCTCAAACTCGGCCAGACTGAAGTGCTGGTTAGTCTGCGGCCGCGCCGGCGCCGTGGAGGCGGCTTCCTTGGTCTCCCTTGATCCCGTTGCCTGTGCGGGCAGGAGGATGGCGCCGGACGGCACCACCACAGGGGGTGCCACGGGTCTGGCAGAGCAGTCATTGGCCGTCGTTGCAGTGGCAACTATGGGAATGGATCCATCGCTTGGCGACGTACCCACCTGTTCCACGAGTGAAGCTTCAGAAAATGCTCGCTTCTTCCTTCTCGGCTGAGCCGTGCACAGACCGAATTTCACGTGCACCCGCGGCGAGTGTCCTCGCCTAGTGACGCAGCCTATGAAAGCAGCGGGTGCTTCGAAAAAAACACCCTTATTTCCTTTTGTTTTTCTGCACATGCCCCACCTAGCTAGTCACTAAATGGCTTATGCTTAGAGTATGGACACCCCATTCCCCGACTGTCCTGTGGGCCCTGGTGCAGGGTGGACACAACTGGCAATAGCTAAGACTCAAATTGCGACTTTCTGAGCATCAGATGCGGTGTCGTGAAGCTTGGCTGATATTGTCTCACCCTGTTGCGGGCTGTTTGAGCATTTCTGGAGGACGGAAAAGCATTTCCTACGATTTCAGATATGGTTTAAAATGACTGGCAACAACGATTCTAGGCAACAAGATGACTAGAGCTTTGTCGTCAGTTCGAACCATAGCTTATTTAACAAGGCCCTAGACCCGTCTTACTAAAAAGGCGAAACTTGGAACATTTATATTTTGTCTTTTTTTGGCTCACTCAGAGGTGGATGGTAAATACATGCTAGCATGACTAGTCGAGCTCCACAACCCGAGTAGAGTTGCGTCTCTATAGAATCGTTCCAAATCACAATCCCCTTCAACTGTGAGAAAGGAGCCAGATAAACGTGACCCATTATGATGAGACATGCACGGCCACATATCTGAGCCGTACGGGTCCACTCGAATCACTCGCTTTCCCAGCCCCACACTATCCAAACTCAATTATCCAACCCCTAATTCAATGGACTTCAATAGCAGCATGCTCGTGGCTGACTGACCTGTGTGAACTGTTCTATGTCCGCTGCCACGCGGTCGACCCTGGCTTGGCGCTTGGCTTGCTGTTCACGGCGGTACCTCTCTGCAAACTCCACAGCTCGCAACTCTACGCTGAAGTCATACTGCAACAAGGGTACCAACATATGCTGCTTGAGCAAAAAATAATTAAGGAGCTAGAAGGAGGCTTTGCAGAGAGAAAGACAGGCTACTAGTACTATTTATTAATTTTCAGTGACACAGAGCTACATTTAGAAGTTCAGTTTATGATTGCAAAGTGAGGCCCCAGCTTCGAAGAAATGTTAGCCTTAAGGAAATGTTGGCTGTTATTCTCAGAATCCCCAGGAGACCTCTCTTTAGAGTCCTTGCTGTCAGCTTCGCTCTTTATCAGCAACCAATGCTGACAAGTAGAATAAACATTCGAGGAAAACTATGACCAGACGCCGGTTCTTGCTGTCCGTTCAGTTGTTACCGTCAACATGCCTTTTAGCAAGCAAAGAGAGAAAACCGGGGAAAGGAAAACTCACATGCTCGTTCAGCGTCTCCGGGAATGTGTTTCTAGCAAGGCTGACAGGGAGCACTACCCTTCGTGGAGGACGAAACTTTTCCGATATTTTCACCTGCACCCCGTCCAGGTAGCTGAACCCTGCCGGCATGAAACAGACGAACCTTCAATCAGCAAATGCAGCTAAAGAAGCGAAGATCTGTGGTCAGTCACAAATTGAGTCTCTGCTCCCCAATTAATTTTTCTCGTTTCAAGGCACTCGTGCAATTAGAGCAGCGGTTCTCAGACTGTGGTCCGCAGACCCCTAGGGGTCCTCGAGAGCATTCATAGGAGTCCGTGCAAAAAAAAGAAAACGCTCCAAGAAAAATGATTGCATCTCCACGTGGTGAATGACGTTGATTGGGGTGAAGCTATGGTGGTGCTGATGATACTGATTTTATTGCTCATAAATAGTGCTGATGGTGCTGATTTTTTTTTTTTTTTTATTGCTCATAGGTACTGCTGAGTTTTGACTTCATTATTATTGCTTTATGGTCGGTGAAATGCAGAGCCAGTGGTTCTTCTAGTGGATCAGCTTGGATCCGCTAGAAGCCGTGGGAACGCATCTCCACTGCTTAAGTCAACGGTCCATGTCAGAAGGAGAATGTGTGGTATGGAATGTGGTTATATACGCATTTGAGCATTTGACTGCAGCGCCCTCTCGTCTATAAACGTTGAGCCAATGCATGCAAAGTTTAATGCGATTACATACGCATTTGACCGCAGCGCCCTCTCCTGTACAGACGTTGAGCGGCTACATGCAATGTTTCATCCATGACAGAAACCCCAGCTCTTGAGTTACTACCATATCTCAGAGCCCCCGACTCGTCCCGCAGTCGTGGCCGAGTGGTTAAGGCGATGGACTAGAAATCCATTGGGGTCTCCCGCACAGGTTCAAATCCTGTCAACTGTGCAAACATTTTTTCTTTTTATGTGAGCACGGACGGACGGACGGACAAGGCTAGACCCTAAGGAGCTTCGCCCCTAAAAAAACCTTCCTATGCCATCGCACAAGACCTCTAAAGACAGAATGCATTTGGGGTTTGTGAACAGCATCTGAGTGGGTTGGGGGTCCGTGACAGCCAAAAGCTTGAGAACCGCTCATTTAGAGATGTGGTAGGCGTTGTTACATGAAGCACGTAATTAGGCCATGGTATGAGTAAGGAACTACTATAGTTCACCCCCAAGCTGACTGTGCAGGCGGAGGTACATGCTCATCGGACACATTGACCACCTCCCTTTCAGCACCTGACCTCGCTCTCTGTACACGAGCGTGGGCGAGGATGTAATGATATGGTGGAAGATAGATGTACGACTGGTCCTGTGAGCATGTAGCTCGTACTGCATTGTCCGCTTAGGGGTGAAGGGAGTACAATGTGCTTCAGAACTTCGAAGGCCAAAATAAACATTAAGAATAATGGGAAGTGGCTTACCATCTCTGCGCGAGTATGCCATGGTGTTACTTCAAATCTGCAAAAAGATAAAAGAAATTTCAAAATATTTCTCAAAGTGAAAATTTTCACTGCGTAGAGGCTTAAAATGTCGCCCGCTTTTTCCATATTTTTAAGATGAATATTTCTTAAGCTAACACACAATCGAAAAAAAAAAATGAAATGTCTTACTGATGATTGGATGTGTTGATCCAATAAAAATTGGTGCCAAGCACATCAACTCTGAAGATTACTTCAGAGACATCCAAACTTTTGGGTTGCATTTCTTTTAGTATATATAATTTGTATGCCATCACTAATCAGGGAACGCGACGGAAAATATGTCAAGACGCAGCAACTAATTTGTGATCATGTTAATCCACCTTAGTGCATTTGGGTCTAGGTCACTGGGAGCCAGGAGGTAGGGACGGTGTCACACACCAGCGAGCACAACTATGGTGGCAGTCACGTTAGAGAGCATAGATTTCAGAGAGGGGGAAGCTCAAACCACAGAGAGCATTTGTAATTTAATGGCCGGCACCTCCAGCACCGAACGGATGCTCGTGCACATGCATTCATGAGTTGTTGCGTAGGGGCAAAGAGTGAGCGGAGAGGTTGAGCAAAAGTTGGAGACTCTTGCAGACGACCGACGCCTTCGGCTCCTCCTCACAGCTACCGTAGAATACCGCGCATCCGCCCATTCCACATTAAGCGCCCATCCCCAAATTTGTAAGATCTCAGAAAATACGCACAGTACATTGATATGTAAAATTGATGACCGGACAAGCGCCCATCTCCCATTTTCTTGTGGTTATCTCCAAAGTGGGCGCTTGCCCGGTATTCCGGGCAAATGCCCACTCTATACTGCAAGTATAGAGTGGGCGCTTACGTAAGTATACTGCAAGTGTGACCCACGAACCACATGACCCCGATAGAGCAGCTGGGAACACTCTGTAATCTAGGCACACTGTAGGCCAAGTGAGCCAAGAAAATTCACATGCGGTCGCAGATCCGTCATCTACTTTCATCTCGGCAAACAGATTGCACATACGCCGCATTATATGTTTGGTGCCCATAGTTTATCCCGGTCCCAGCATTGGATAGGGAGAAAAAAAAAAGTTTATACAAAATTATTTACTGCATGTTGGCATATTCTGATAGTGTTCCATAATATAAAATATTATGCAGAGTAAAAAAAGAAAATGCAGCTGAAAATTGTTTGGTCTTTTCTCTTTTCAGGAATAGAAGATGTCTTCCGAGTTCATGGTGCACTCGTTCTGAATTTTCATACTTCGACACTTGGTACTGAAGGGTAGTGTTGAAATTCTCACCACAAAGAAGCCCGCGGGAGTTAAGCTTACTGGTCGTAGGCTCACCATAAAACCGTCCGAGTATGAGGGTAAAAAAGATCACCAGTCTTTAGAGTAAGAGGGATACGCTCACATACAAATTAGTAAGCCATTTAAACTGGTGGTGGTTTCTAAGGCTGGCCCTGCATCAAAATTCCCACCAACTTTCTTCTCAAGACAATAGACTTTTTTTTTGCTCACTCTTGTCCCCAGCCATTTGATAGGCAAACCCAATATAAACAACAAAAAAAAATCTTGCAAATAGTAAAAAAAAGTAGAGGGGAGGCAAAACGAGAATGGACGACGGTTAAGCTTATATCCTGAATATATTCTACTGGAATAAAATAAAATAAAATCATCTGATGGGCTAGTTGGGTAAACATAATTAAAAAAATAGCGCAAGGACGATGGAGAGAAGAACGAGAGACAGGAAAGAGCGCTAACTGACAACTGGCGTTGTCAGTTAACTAACTCATACCCTTGTTACACGGGCACACTTAACTGCGGTTAACTCAGCTTTAACTGCGGTTACGTGGCAGCACAGATGCCGCACTATACCCTCGGACAGCTATTTCAAAAGAAGTGAAGAGAGCGCGTGCACTGCTTTGATGGGTGCTCAAGATGCTCAAGCGCACGTTCGCCCATAGCTCTGACTGCATCGCCGCAGAATGTTGTCGGCAAGCATTGTGCGCTAATTGTGGTTTAGCGTAACTGCAGTTAAGTGTGCCCGTGTAACAGGGGTAATAGTTAGTTAACTGACAACGCCAGTTGTCAGTTAGCGCTCTTTCCTGTCTCTCGTTCTTCCCTCCGTCATCCTTGCGCTATTTTTTAATTATAATTATTCTACTGACGTGGCGACGGCAAAGCAATGTTTTCCCCAATACTGGAAGTGACGATAATCAAGATGGCTGCATTCTTGTAAAATAAATCTATAAACAAACATCTTTCTTTTCGCAGTGTCGAGTACCGTCCGACGGCACTCTTGCAGAGCGTTCAGGTGTCGTCCGACAATACTTCACTCACGTGTTCAAGTGCCGTCCAAAAGTCTCGTATAAAATGAGTTCTCAAAACGAGATTTTCGAAGCGGAGTGTAGCTTAAGGGGTATTCACACGAGGGAGAAATCCCGGGGATTTCTCCCCCGCACGCGCAAATCACGAGATGAAAACGCGAGGCTTTTGCACATCGCAAAGCTTTACGTTTTCGTCGTGGGATGCGGGTGCCAGGGAAAAATCTCCGGGATTTCAATACCCCTTTAGTGGTAAGATGTCTGTCTCATAAGCAAGCGATCCTGGGTTCGATCCCCAGAGCGGCCTTATTTTTTTGTTTTTGTTTTCTCGTACATTTCATTTTGCCGACGCATTTGGCGATATTTACATTTATTTTTTTTACGATTAACACAGGAAAAAACTAAGTTTGCTGCCGACATTTCGCTGAACGAAATGGTATGGGACTTCGTTTCCCGAGGTGCATGAGGTACAGTGGGGCTTGGTTTGCCGGCTGGACGGCGCAAAGCGGCGTGTACGACGGGGCCAAATGGGTAGCCGCACACTGTCGCCGCGAAGCGGCGTGAACGCAAGCGGGGATTGGCTTAACACGCTCCCCAGTGATACACGTGCCGTCCGACCCTCTTTCGGATAGCACTTGTAGGCGCGATTGGAGTGCCGTCAGACAACACTGTAAACACAACCTTTTCTTTTTGGTAAAGGGGAGGGGAGGGGAGGGGAGGGGGGGGGGGGGGATTAAAATACATGTTAATGTATTAGGGTTGGCTGTGTAATAGGGTTGGCTATGTAACAGGGTTGGCTGAATTTCAGCTCAGGAAGAGGGGGGCAAGGCCCCCTTCTTGGCTACGCCACTCAACAGTGTGCAGGTTGCGATTTTGTTTTATTCACAAAGAAACATCAGTTTAACACTTGGCATAACCTTGATGAAGTGTGACTCACATTCCAAATCGGTGGTAGTCAGCTAGAACGAAAACCATATGATCAAATGGCCGATATGTACACCAGTTATTGTGGAAACACAATCTTCTCGCGTAGAGCGGAAGAATTGAATATAAATCTTGGCAACGCAATTTTTAATGCACAGTTCGCTTTCGGTGCATCAGCTTCTATATCGCTTCAAAATGAATTTTAAGATCATGTTTCGAAGAGGTTCAAGAATCACACTAATGAATACCTCGTGGAATATGTTCCTGACGAAATAAGAAAGTGGTATTCTAAAATTCCGATGCACGGCAGACCCGGAATACAAGGGTCTCCTACCTAAAGTCGCCCAGGGAGACAGCTCACAAGACCAGCTACGCATATAAAACAAAAACAGATTGGCCATGTGACAACATCAAGTTCAATGACACGAGTTATCCGACATGTAGAAGAGAACGAAGGACACTTTAGTTTGCGGAACCAAGGCAACGAAAAAGCATGCCGGATGACTGGTACAAACTCACTTCCATACGGCCTCCTGTGCTGCTTTCGTTCGATGGAAGAAGATTATATTGAGCAGGACAGTCTATTATTAAAACACACACATCCTGAGCGACTTTGAAAACACCGCAAATTAACGAAAACGCACTCACTTCATTAGTGGCGAAATTTGGCGACGCTCCCCAGCTATCACAACAAAATTATGTCTGAAATGGAAGATAAATAGATAAATGGTATTGTTATACATTATGATATTGGGCGGTAGCTAGCACCACCTAGTTTAAAAACATGCTTTCCTCCGAGCCTCCGAGATCCCGAAGCGCGCGCGCGAAGGCTTCTCCGGTCTGCTCCGGCCGTCCCACCATTGTCATAGAGATCAGTGGGCCGTCCCGGCCGTCCCATTCGCCTCGCTCCCAAATCTCTATGCTCCCAAGGAGAAGAATGTAATTGCACTAACTCTGTCGCTCGCCGCGAGGCGGCGCTGTTTGCCCAGTCATTGCGAGCGCGCCGGTTTCGAATCTGGAGGATCGTTTCTTTTCGGGGTCTCCCTCTAAACGTCGCGACGTGCTGGACACCGTGGTTTTTTCACACGAAACAATCGCACACCGTTGCCAAGATGTCCAAGGGGAGGAGCCGCAAGGTTGCGAAGCCAGAGGACCCCCTCATCGGCTGTGACAAATGCGGGAGATGGGCATACGTTTCCGAGAGCGATTTGAAGAACACTCAAAGGGGCTGAAAATGCTGACTTCGTCTGCAGAATATGCAAGATGATTGACGAGGTGGACACGACACACAGAAACAAGAGTGACAAACTGGAAACGACCATGACGGACATGATTAAAAGGTGGAAAGACACCAACAAAGCAGGTGCCGTGGATCAGAACGACATGATACATGCACTCCTAGACCGGGTGGATAAATTAGAGCATTGCGTCGAAGAGCTTGTGAAGCGAATGTCGTCCAGTCGAACTGACAAGGTAACTCTGGACACAACAATGGAGGATTCTCCAGAGTACAGTGCGCGACGTGAGCAAGAAAATGAGAAAACGCCTAACCAGATTGACAATCAGCGACATGGGCCTGTGATGTCCCGAAGTGGTAACCCGTTTCCTGAGACCTACGACAGCGGAGCAGGACCACACCTTCAACATGAAAATGGCATGATGCAGGTATAAACAGAGCAGCAAGTGGCAACCACATTAGTAAAGGACTTGCCCAGCCAGGTGGGAGACAATAGCAACACTACCACCATGAATGGGACTCGCATAAACCAAAGGCACATCGATGAACCCATCCGACCTCCTCAAGGAGTGACACGAGAAGGGATTGTTGCAGGTGATAATAATGTTGCCCGGTTTGCACGCACTCTCGTAGATCGAGTAGGGGACCATCGACGAGTGGAAATTCTATATAACAGAGGTGGAACAATCGCAGATGTACACCACCTAATAGGCGAATATGAAGAGAAAGCAAGGAAAGTACCCCGAATGTATATATTGCGTGTGGGTGTAAATGACATCTTGCACGGCGAACAACCTGCGGCGATTGTAGAGCAGCTGAGGCTGAAATGGACCGATCACAAAGACGCATTAGCCATATGCTCAATACCAGAGCTTGAGGGCAGTGGCAAAGGAATTCAAGCAGCAACCATGCTGCTGAATGCCCAACTAAAGAAGCTCTGTAAGGACCTCAAGGCGCGATTTATAGACCTGAGCCGAGATCTCAAAGCTGAGGATGCAATGGAGAGAGGCAGGCTACACTATAAGGAAGATGGGGTGCGAAACGTGGTCAAAAGGCTAGGAGCCGTGGCCAGGCTTTTTTTAGGCGTACAATGGTGAAGAGATTCACCAACCTCGAAGATCGGTCAGCAGGGGAGTCCACTGGTAGAGCACAGGAACAAACCAGTGCAGGGACGGAATACAGCAACAATGTATGGCAAACCTCAAGCTTATCGCCCAGCCGAAGAGCACCGCATGGTGCATCAGGCAATGGGGAGCCTGCACGCACAACACACGGACGACCCCGCGAACAGATGGCACGCCGGCAAGACCGAAGTGCTAGCTGGAAAGCCTTGCGATCACTATCCAGTCGAAGAGCAACGCACGGACTACCAGAGAAGTTTTCCGTCATTGGGCCCAGTTCGCGAATTGGAGAGACGGACACCGCGACCCCAAGACATAGTACATTGCGTCGACTCGAACATGCAACTTCCACCATCGCAAAACAGTCATGTAGCAGTAGCACTAAGGCGGGCTCCACAAATGGACCCTCTACAACCTCAGAGGCAAACACTGTCACACGGGGGACTCCCAGGGTACTGCCCCCAATCCTGAACCCCCCCAACGTCAACACGTCTCTCCCAAATGTATACACCGGTGCTGCCTCAACCCCAAGACCTGTGTGCAATCGTGGCCGAGATGGTGAGCCAACAACTCGGTTACCACTACCAGCGGCACAGGATATACACCAACTCATGTTTACAAACAAACCGGAGCGCCCCTAGCGGACGCCACCGGCGCCGCGCATGCGCGGTGGATGGTGGGCAAGAAGCCCGCCGTCGCCCATAAACAAACCATTGAATTGCGTTGTTGTCGGCGTCGGTGGGAGTCCCCGTGCTCTTTTTCGCGTTGGAATTGTTGATTCTACGTCCTCCTAACAATGTCTGACGACTTGAGCGGCTTCAGAAAAACTAACGAGGCAAAACTTTGCGTGAATAATGTGACGTGCGGCGATTCATTTCACGTGGACGCCGCAGAATGGGCACTAAAGCCTGACTCCCACGATGAGATTCTGCTCGCTGTTTTCAATCGCGACGTCGCTCGGACTGCAAAAGCGTGGACCGTAGCTGAGATGGATGACGTCGATACTGAAAACCGCAAGTAGAATTGGGCATTACGAGTCGGTGATGGCCACTGGTATAAACGATCAACATCTTCTTGTATCTGTTTACACTTAGCCTACTTACCCCAACCAACCCTCAAAAATGTTTTGAGGCCTGCACTTAGTTGCAACGTTTTGTTTACGGGCCGCTGTCGTTTGAACGAGTTGACGACAAAAAGCAGCCAAGTTTGAAAGAGCAGACGACAGCTCGAACACATGCGCAATGGAGTACGGGCAAGAAGCACCGCGTCTTGCGTCAACAAACCATTCGAATGTCACGTTGCCGGCGTTTGTGTGAGTCTGCATAGTCTTTTTCGCGTTGGAATTGTCGATTCTACGTCGTCATCGCAATGTCTTACCACTTAATTCGCCTGAGCGAAATTATCAAGGCTCGTTACGCCGCTAAACTTTTCGTAAATAATTTGACGTGCTGCGATTCATTCAAATGAACGCCGCAGAATGGACGCCAAAACCATGATGATAATCTTCTAGCTATTTTCGGTCGCGACGTCGCTCGTGCTGCAAAAGTGTAGAAGGTAGCGGCGATGATCGACGTCGATACTGAAAATCGGAAGCGGGAACAGACCAAGCGTAACGAGTCGGTGATGGCCACCGGTACCAATGATCAACATCTTGTATCTACTGCTTACACCGAGCCTACTTAAGTCTTTTCAGGCCTGCAATTACTTCTTATTGCAATCACTGGATCAAAGTTTGGTCTACGGGCCGCTTTTGTTTGAACGAGCAGACGACAAAAAGCAGACAAGTTTGAAAGAGCAGACGAAAGTTCGAACGATCAGGTGGCCGTGTGAATTTGAAGACGCACTGAACCCGTGGGTAGTCCGGACAACTTGGCGGTTTTCTCTCGTTCATGTTGGAACAAAGCAAATACATCTGGCGACCACAAAGTGTTGCCCGCACACGCAATCGTAGTTCGACAGCGTCTGGTTTGCCCTTTTCACGGCTGCTATCCATGTTCTCGGACGAACGGAGGGGGCAGAAACACATTAAAACTGATCTTCAAATTTTTCCAGACTCTCTTGGTACAGCCCCCGTCGCAGCATTTTGACGCGAAGGCAGGTTTTTTGTCTCGTTTCTTTCAAAGGAAAGCAGGAATACATGTCTGGCACGGCGACTTCTGCCCACCGCCCCAGACCGGAAGTGCGTCCGGCGCGCCACCACCGCGGCGTGACGTAGGAGAGTTGAGTTCGTGTATATGGCCGCTTTCGGGTAGGGGGGTCGGAGATAAGAGGGTGAGGAACAAAAGTAGGTGTGGCAAAAAAAAAAAAAATGAAAGCCGTTTACAATTCCCTGTAATGCCGGTTAGAGCGCAGCTCTTGGGGAGGAAGATGGAAGCGTACTGAGGGATAGGTGACTCCTTGAGGTCACGTGACCTCAAGGGGGTCACGTGACTTCAGGGGGTCACGTGACCTAGGGGTGTCACGTGACCTGGGTGGGTCACGTGACCTCGGGCGGGTCACGTGACCTCGCGGTTACGCCGACGCCGCTCAAGCCGGAAACGGGCCCCTAAGAGCTGCGCTCTAAAAGTCGGAGACGACGTAGACGCAGCAGACGACTGACAGATGTGGTAGGATTTCTCAACCTCCAAGGAGCGAGACGGGAACAAAAATGGGAAGAGCTATATAGGGAGTTGGAGGCGGAGGGTATGACACTTTTTGGAGTGGCAGAGACGCACCTATGTGATATTGAAGAAGCTCCAACCGATGCAAATTGGTGTTGGGCTGGACGCAATCGTGTGGAGGGACAGCGTCGAGGTGGGGGAGTTGGCGTGCTGTGGCGCAGTACATCAGTATGGTGCAAGGAACCACGAGACTGTTGGGACCATATTTGGGTAACGGGAGAGATAATCGGGATTCCTGTTGCCGTCTGTATAGTATATGTGTCGGTGGGAGCTGCGCGCAGAGTGGAGAATCAAAGTTAAATGAGTTGTGTGGAAACCGAAGTAAAGGACTTGGCTGCTACAAAAGACATTTTCATCATGGGGGATTTTAATGGACACCTGCATGAACTGGACGGATGGGAGGACGAAAATGGGTGAGCGATGCTGCGGATGGCCGAAGATAACGCCTTGGAGATACTAAATCTCAGGGCCTCATACATGGAATGCCCGGGACAGCAAAACGTGCATTGATTACGCCTTAGTCTCACAGAATCTGGCCCGTTATCTGGTTCACGCACACATTGATGAAGCTGGTGAACACAGTATTGGGAGTGACCACAACCGGATACGGTTAGAATTCTCCAAAGCTACACCAAAAATAAAAAGAGAAAAGCTCTCTCCGACAGGCCGTTCCCGGCTAGACGGCAGTGGAGAAGGTG